TAAATGTGAGGTCTCACCACGAAATGAGACGCATCGTTGGTGAAATTTTTACAAAATTTTGATTTTAATGTTTTTGAATAACTTGATACTTATATTTTATGATTGTATACTTTGTAAGTGAAATTTCTTGCCAAAACAGTGTTCTCTACACATATTCTGTAATTCTAGTCATTATTTGTACAGGTTAGTTTATCTTTGAGGCTGATTTTCAAAAAACGTGGTTCTTATACACCTAAACTTTAAATGCTCACATCTCTGGATTTACTTATACAGTAGTAGGGAAGCCATTCAAAGACCAAATGAAAGCTTATAATGTGATCTACCCAAATATAATATTTTTTGAATTTCTAACCATGAGACTCATTTTGTGGCGAGACCTCACACGCACACGCACACGCACACGCACACACATACACACACACACACACATATATATGTTTCTAGGTATATCCTATATGCTTATATAAAATCATATATAAATATATATATATATTCATATAAATTTATGAACTGCTCAGGGGCATCAAAGAAAATTAAAGATTTCAAGTGAAGAATGATGTTGAATTGCCTTGGTTTTATCCAAACTCTGGAACTGCAAGAAAAATAAATACAGTAAACTTATTGTATAAAAAGATCGGACTAAATATTGTAATGATTATTGTTTTAACTAAATTATGAAATAGATTTCAGATCGCTACGACATTCAATTCAATTAAAATCAAAGATACATTTTATTGACCATAATTATTAAAGTATATGAAAATGCAACAAAAAGAATAGCATGAAGCACGTTGTTTAAATCAAAAGATTATGTTTCAATCATGAATATATCACCGTAAATGGAAGAAAGAGAATATGTTAGTAGAAAGATAAAAATGTTGTTAGTAGAAAGATAGCAAAACGGAAATAAAACAAATACTTAGAAAAATGATAAACCAATTGACGAAATAATTATAATAATACATTATATAGGGCCTAGCTAGCCATATTAAATTTTGCGTTTTCGCAACTTCTTCGGCGCTCCATATATTTGTTCGAAATAAACCGCGACCGAAATGAGGCGCAACCGAAACGAAGCGCGACGGAAATGATCGGCTACCCTTTCATTATGCTGGTAACTACTAGCCTAGGCCTACATGAGCCTGCCATATAGGCTTAGCTTATATTTTAGATAATTACTTACTAGAATTCAAACCTCACAACATACATCAACTTGTTATCCACTTACCTTTGAGTAAAACTAAGAATGCTGTTACTGGCAGTCTTCTTAAAAGAAAGAAATCGTGGCGCAATCACTCTCGTGTTGTCATTTATGAAAGCTCATGTACAGCGCCATTGAAATTGCCAGGAAATTTAGGAATTAAGACAACAAACAACCTGAGTAGTGTGGCGGCTGGGTTAAGAAAGTTACAATGGAAACGATTACTCTCATTGAATATCAAATGTATTTTATTTTTTAAATATATTTGTGGTAAGAATCACAGTCTTTAGCTTTCTGAAGGTGTGTCACTAGGTCCTAATTCAAAATTAGATTCAAATTCTGGCAACACTGGCAAACCCTTTGACCTCACCTCAACAGTTCCCAGGTCCACACCAAAATTATAGGGGTCGAGCGCATGCCACACTTCGAGCGAATGCCAGTTCGAGCGGATTCGAGCGGTTTCCAGCGGAATTTATTCGAGCGGATGCTAGTTCGAGCGTAGAAAAAAAAGCACTTGTGCGAACAACCCTGTGCGAGTTATGTAGGCCTACGAATTACTTTAAAATTTCCTATTTTGAGCTAACAATTTGCATTCAGCCGGGGCTCAGGCTTGCAATCAATTGCAAGTAGTTAAAAATCACCTAAAATCACCTATTTTGCGAGTTATAGCATCAGGGACGTAGCTATAGGATTTGAAAGGGGGAGAAGTTATGCAAATTAAGACCCCGTTGGGAGTTCAAGGGCTAAGTCCCCTGGAAAATAGGGCGTTTTGAAAGTATTTAGGGCTGTTCTGAAATGATAAAGTGAAAATTGCAATAAACGCATCATAAATAATATTAGTGGTGGATCAATTCAATAGAGGTGACTCCAGGGAGGGACTTTTACAGAATGACTGGAAATTACACTTTCAGACTTCTTAAATTTGGATTTGGGCCCATATTTTTTTTTTTTCATTGAAAAAAATTAGGAGGAGGGGGAGACCCTGAATCCACCACTGTTCAAAACATTCTTTATCCAAAATCTAGTCATATAATCACGAAAAATGGGCATGTAAAAACCAGATACTAAAAACATCATCATGACATCACTCTGTTACATACAATGCTGTAGCTAGGATTTTCAAACAATTTATTTATTTATTTATTCAACTTTCTTTTATGAGGGTAGCTCTTACAGCGATGCTGACTCAAAGAGGTCCTCATAACAAATACAAAACATACAGTATAACAAAACAAATACAGTAATACATGTAAAATATATAAAGCACAATTATAAAATAGATTTTCGTTAAAACTTTTAAAAAACAATTGCATAAACAAGATATAAAATTTCAATTTTTAATAAAAGCAGTCATTAAGATGATTTTAGTGCTATTTTTAGTTTATTTTGAAAAGAATAAAATGTATTGAAATGCGGGAAAATATCAATGTGGACCCACTTTACACGTAAATTCAAATAATATTTACTCATTTTCTTAAAAGTGGACCCATTTTACGCAAAAAATATGAAAAATATGTACCCATTTACTTAAAAGTTGACCCGGTTTACGCAAAATATGAGAAATCTGGAACCATTTTTTTTTTTCAAAATCAGGACTCATTTTGTGCTAAAACAGCATAAATTTTGAAAATGTACACCCATTCTTTTAGGCGAGCAGATTATGGCCAAAAAGTCCTCTAAAAATCGTCGAGGTGCAATGGAAGTACTACCGGCTAATTTTGATATTTTCTGAAAATATAGGTCTTGAGAAGTTCAGAACTCAAAGTTACCCGAAATCCCTTGGGGGGAACACCTCCAAATTACGCATTCAAAATGGTCGCCATTTTTCCGCTTTAAATTATAGTTTTAGCTTACTTATATAAAAAATAACATCACTCGAATAATCATCATCGGCAATTGGTGAAACTTACTCAAAATATTCGTTAATTATCGAAAATGAATCTTGCGTTAAGAAAAACTACAATTTCAATCACCATAGCAACCGTTGCTATGCAAATTTAAATTTCATATTTTATTCATGAAATTTAAGTATACAGGAAGATTAAAGTTTATTAAATTTTTTATTTTCATAGGTTTTATGAATATGTTTAAAATCTGAATTATCTATTATTATCGTAGAATAGGATTATGTAAAAAAATGCTGAAACTTTAATATAATTACATAGCAACACTCTTTTTATCGTCCATAGCAACGAAGCAAAATCAACAGAATTTGCTTGGTCATTGACCAAGCAAAAATCATGAGATACAATATATTTATATAATAAACATCTCTTATTGAACAAAGTTAACACATTGATGTACAAAATACAAGGTCATCACCATAGCAACTGTTGCTATGCAAATTTGAATTTCTTATTTTTTCATAAAATAATTATATAATGAAGACCTTAAGTATAGTAATAAATTACTATAGGATTTATGAAAAACGTTTATTAAATATCCTAAGATAACACAATTTAGTATGAAAGCAAGGTCATCACCATAGCAACTGTTGCTAATTGAAATATCCTATTTTTTTTTTTGTAAATTATTAAAATGAAAACCTGAAATTTATTAATATATTTAAAGGTTTCGTGAGAGATGTTTACTAAATATTAATATTGTAAGATAACATAAATGAAAGATAACATCTTAATGTGAATACAATATTGATAGTTATCGCCATAACAATGAATCATTAGAATTTCTGTTTATTTGGCTTTACATTTTTTTAAATAACACACGGTCTTTGTTTAAAAAAAGGTGTACATAATAATGTTAAAAATAGGTAATCACCATAGCAACCATTGCTAGCAAACTTAATGTAAGTTTAATGAAAAATGTTTATTAAATGTTTATTATTATTTATTTCATTTTATCAGACCAACAGTGAATCATTACCACTAAAATATATAAAACTTAAATATCATAGGAGAACATTAATAATCAATTTCAAATATAATTTCATATATTGCATCACAATATGGTTTTTAATTTCCATATAAAATAATTTTGGAAATTTATGCAGTGGTTTGTAGAACAAAACGTCATTATCATAACAACCATTTCTACGCACACTTTAATGTATAATGAAAAATTAAAATGTAATAATGTTATTAATATCATAAGATAAAATTCAGTTATAATACATCTCAAAATAATTCCACATACATTTATAATTAAACAAATTATCAAACAGTGGTGTAGAAAAATACAGTGTCCTCACTATGCTAACAATCACTATATAGACTGAGACTAAACATTAGCTTAGGGACTTAAGATTTGATCAACATATCTTCCATTTTTCTTTCATTTTGCATCAAGCCATCTGTTTTTAATTTATATGAAGCATTGTACAATGGTTTTCTTTCTTGATTTAAAATATCTTCATACATTCTGATAACATACTGTATATTTTATAATATACATACATATCTTCCCAAATTTCTCTTATTTTGTTCACATCTTATTGGAAACTCTACTTCGATACCTATGTCTTATTTATGTCCTCTTTTTAGTTTTTCAATTTCATGTCATGTCTTTTAATTCATAAACATATAGCCCATTCCACCATTAGATTCTTCCTCTAATTCTAGTATTAAATCTGTCACCTGCCACTACTGTAGCAACTCTAAATATTCAAATGATGGGATTGGATTGGATTTATTCGGTGTAAACGAAAGTCTAGAAGAAGGCTTATTTCCAGTGGGGTCCTTCTGGTGGCAGGGCCGTCGGAACCTAGATGTGTATAAGAGACAGGGAAATATACAAAATGATATAAAAAATAAATGTAAAAATACGGTACATAAAATTACATAAAAATTCAGTTTCACATATTAAATATTATTTACATAGGCCTATTACATTAAAGGTAGAAATATTACAATTAAAAATATCAAATAAGAGACAATGGCAAATAACAGAAAAGTCTACACCCTAAAATATTGTAATTTTGACAATGTTAGAGGTATAAACATGATAATTACAATTAACTATGTATGAAATGTTTGGGTTAGTCACACCACAAGGCTTATGTGGATAAAGCCAGCCCTGATTACTCGCTATTTTTGGTCGCCAGATGCTATTTTTGGGATATCACAGATGCCATAATTTCATAATTTGTTCACATTCATGCATGCTGTTTCTGCCCCTTGCTGGGGAGTGGTATTTGGCTCTATAATTGCCAGTTGCTATTTTCGGGCATCCCAAAATTATACTTTTAGACTACAATATTAGGGAACAGCAATCATAATAACGTCTTTGATTGGATTTGAATATTAATTTAGTCCGATGATGGTATCTTTGATCATTAGAGTAAGAATGCTTTGATCTTTTGTTTAAATCACTGCTATGTCACCTACTAGAGGTAATGTTTTGATTGGTTAAACACTTTTGGTACTAGTGCTTATAAGCTTGTTAATATGGATAATTTTTTCATACCTGATGATGACATAATTAATGTCGAAATATTGAATCCCAACACGATGGCGTGTATTTCAATACTTGGAGTATGTATTATACTTTCTTAATTCTAATTTTGATACTACTTTATGTTCTTTATTCCCTCTTAAGACTAATAGACTCGGCTCCGGCCGTCGTAATGATCTATTTTTGGTTCCCTTTAACAAAGTCAATTGCACTAAAAGTGGTTTTATTCATCGTCTTGCCAACCTTTTAAATAACCTTCTCACAATTTTACGTTAATCGATATTTTTCACCAGAGCCTTAGTCCATTCAAAACCAGCTTATCGCAATCTTTAATCCGTAATACCAAGTGGCTTATTTTCTGGGTGGGTTAATTCCTTTATTCCTTTGTTTGTTTTTATCTTTGTTTTTTATTTTTTCGCTTTTCGCTGTTCTAAGATGATAAAGTGAAAAGTGCAATAAACGCATCATAAATAATATTAGTAAACCTAACAATAATATAATAAAAAATATAATAATATAAAACTGTAAAACGGTGGTGGATCCAGGAATTCAATAGAGGTGACTCCAGGGAGGGACTTTTACAGATTGGGTAACCACCCACCTCAGCCCAACCATGGGGCTGAAAATTTATGATTAAGGCACCTCTAGATGACCGGAAATTACACTTTTAGACTTGGGGCCATATTTTTTTTTTCATTAAAATAATTTAGGGGGAGGGGGAGACCTTGAATCCACCACTGCCCAAAACATTCTTTATCCAAAATAGTCATAATCACGAAAAATGGGCATGCAAAAACCATATCCTAAAAACATCATCATTACATCACCGTTACATACAATGCTGTAGCCAGGATTTTCAAACAATGCGGGAAAATATCAGTGTGGACCCACTTTACGCGTAAATTCAAATAATATGGACTCATTTACTTAAAAGTGGACCCATTTTACGCAAAAATATGAACGCATTTTCTTAAAAGTTGACCCGGTTTACGCAAAATATGAGAAATCTGGACCCATTTTTCAAAATCAGGACTCATTTTGTGCTAAAACTGCATAATTTAGACTTATTTTTGAAATTGTACACTTCTTTGTGGACCCAATAGAAAAATTGTGTGGGACTGTCCAACTATCCCAATAGCTGGCTAGCTAGCTAGCTACGGAATTGATAAAATCAAAATGAAGCGCCAACAAATTTCTCATGATCAATTTATCAGGGATTTTCTGCAACTATAGAGATCTTTAATATGTGTGATGTACCATAGAAAATAAAGCTTATAAACATTTGAGTATGTACTTTATATCCGTGATTTCACAACCACCTCAGCCCCACCATGGTTGGAGCTGAGGCAGTGGTGGCGCCAGAGGGGGCTGGGGGGCTATAGCCCCCGTCGGGGAAGCTTATCCCCCCCCCCTCCGTCGGGGAAGACGATACATTTTGTCGGGGAACAAACAAATAAAAGAAAATATTTACATGTAATATTCGTTTAGCCACCATATCGTTTGTGTTAACTTTTCATCACAACAACAACCACAATAACAATAACAATAATAATAATAATAATAATAATAATAATAATAATAATAATAATAATAATAATAATAATAATTCAATGGGACTAATTAAAAATAATTGCCTTCTGTTATGACAAATGCTCATTTAGATAGCCTCATGATGGAATACATCGTGATAGGTGAAGCGACCTCGACCATGACAACGTGGTTTCATGGACAGATTTCATGCAAAATTTCCAAAATATAGAATTTCACTTTCAAGAATGAGGATTTGAAAATAAATTAGATGGTTATACATTGCATACTATTTGTTTCTTGCTTTATTCAAAATGTTTTGGTTTTGGAAGCTGATTTCAACATTAGAAAGCATAGCCTACATGAAGTCATATTATAGTAACTCGATGCCTATTAAAATAAGTAATACAAATTCGCCATAATTCATCAAATATCCGTGGCTTCCAGGGGCCTTCGCTCCCTGGACCCCCACCGGGGGCCCTAGGCGGCCCCCTGGCCCCAGCCAAGTGAGACTCGATTCGCTCCACTAGCCCCCCCCCC